GAGAGAGAGACAGTGAGAGAGAGCATGAGCAAGGAGAAGGTCAGAGGGAGAAGCAGACTCCCCATGGAGCTGGAAGCCCGATGTGGGACTTGATCCCGGGACCCCGGGATCATGACCTGAGCCGAAGGCAGTCGTCCAACCAACTGAGCCACCCAGGTGTCCCTCCCATCTTGTTTCTAAATGATGTTTTGAAGGTTTGCCCACATTATAGCATGTGTCAGGGTTTTGTTCCTTTTTATGGCTGAGTAATATTCCATTCTGTGGATGGACCTCATTTTCTTCATTCACCCGTTGATGGACCCTTGGATTGTTTCCACCCCTCGGTGATTGCTATAAATGTGTGTGTGAAACGTGCTTCAATTTCTCTCAGGTCTCCACCAAGAGTGGAATTGCTAGGTCACATGATAATTCTATGCATGACATTTTGAGGAACTACCAGACTGCTCTCCAAAGCAGCTGCCCCATTTTACATTCCAACCAGTACCATCTGGGATTTCTCATTTCTCTTCATCTTCACCAACACTTGTTACTCTCTGCTCGTGTTTCCCCCATCATTTATAACCATCCTAATGGTCAGAAGGTGGTATCTCCTGATGGTTTTTGTTTGTATTTCCCTGATGCGTAGTGATGGTGAATATTTTTTGATGTGCTTGTTTGTCAACAGCGTGTGTATCTTCTTTGAAGAAATGTTTCAGATGCTTAGACCTTTTTTCAATTAAGTTATCTCTTTTTTTTTAAAGATTTTATTTACTTATTCATTTGACAGAAAGAGAGAGAGAGAGAAAGCATGCACAAGCAGGGGGAGTGGGAGAGGGAGAAGCAGGCTCCCCACTGAGCAGGGAGCCCCATGCAGGGTTCGATCCCAGGACCCTGGAATCATGACCTGAGCCGAGGGCCGATGCTTAACCAACTGAGCCACCCAGGTGCTCCAAGTTATCTCTTTATATTGATCCATAAGAATTTACTTTTATATATTCTGGATACTAGTCCTCTCATCAAATACATTCTTTGCAAATATGTTCTCCCAACTATGGGTTGTCTTCTCCCTGTAGAATTGACACATAATGTTATGTCAGTTTCAGCTACACCATATAGTGATTCCATAGTCTTTTCCCTTGATAGAATCCTTTAAAGCCCAGAAATCTTTAATTTTGATGAAGTCCAATTTATCTGTTTTTCTCCTTGTTTGTGCTTCTGGTGTCACATCTAAGAAACCATTGCTGGGGGAGGAGGAAGCAACTGCTCAGCAGGGAGTCTGCTTCTCCCTCTCCTTCTTCCTCTCCCTCTGCCCCTTCCCACTGCTCTGTGCTCTCTCTCTACCAAATAAATGAATAAAATCTTAAAGAGAGAAAGAAAGAAAAGGTACCATTGCCAAATCCAAAGTCATTCAGAATTAACACCTCTGTTTTCTTCTAAAGAGTTCTATAGTGGTGCCTGGGTGGCTCAGTGTGTTAAAGCCTGTGCCTTCAGCTCAGGTCATGATCTCAAGGTCCTGGGATCAAGTCCTGTGACAGGCTCTCTGCTCAGCAGGGAACCTGCTTCCTCCTCTCTCTCTGCCTGCCTCTCTGCCTACTTGTGATCTTTCTCTGTGTGTCAAATTAAAAAATAAAATCTTTAAAAAAAAAAGAGTTCTATAGTTTTAGTTCTTATATTTGGGTCGTTGAGCTATTTTGAGTAAATTTTTTGTATATGGTGTGAGGTAGGGGTCCAAATTCATTCCTTAACATGTGGCGATCTAGCTATGCCAGCACTATTTGTTGAAAAGACTCTTTATTTCCCCCATGGAATGATTTTGCAACCTCTGTTAATTTTCTAGGGCTGCCTTATTAACAAAGTACCACAAATTGGGTGGCTTAAACAATGGAAATTTATTTTTGCACATAAACGAGGTCAAGATGTGAATTCCTTTGGAGAGTTAGGAGGGAAGAATTGGTTCCGGGAGTGGGGCCCACTCCTTGCCTTACAGATGGCCACCTTCTCATTGTGTCTTTGTGTCACCTTCCCTCTGTGGATTTCTGGGTGTTCAAATGAGGACACCGGTCATATTGGATGAGGGCCCACCCTAATGACCTTATGTTAACTTAATCACATCATTAAAGATGCTAACTCCAAATACAGTCATATTCTGAGGTACCAGGGGTTAGGACTTCCATTTATGAGTGGGAAGACACAATTCAGTTCCTAACAGCATCCTTGTCAAAAAGTAGTTGACCAGGGGCACCTGGGTAGCTCAGTTGGTTACACATCTGCCTTCAGTTCAGGTCATGATCCCAGGGTCTTGGGATCAAGCCCTGCATCTGTTTCCCTGCTCAACAGAGAGCCGCTTCGCCCTCTCCCTCTGTCCTTCCCCCTGCTTGGGCTCTCTCTCTCTGTCAAATAAATAAATAAAATCTTTTAAAATTAAAAATAAATAAATAAATAAAAAGTATTATGAATATTTAGTATTAACTGTAACAACTTTTAAAGATCCAACCAGCATCTCCTATAGAGGAGTCATGCCCTTGTAAACTGGGCCAACCCAGGCCAACCGGCTGTGGGATCTGGGGCCCCAGCCCAGAGGGTCTGGGCAAACCAGGAGCAAGGGGAACCCACGGGTGCTGGACAGTGAGCTCTGTCTTATGTCCCATCCCGTTAGATGACCTACGTGAGCAACCAGCCATACATGGCGGCCATCATCTTGAGCGAGAAGCAATGCCAAGAGCAACTTAAGGAGACCAACAAGACCTGCGATGGTGAGTGGTCTGGTCTGGGTAGTAGGGCGCCAGTGTGCCAAGTCTCCTGGCAACCCCCAACCTTTCAGAGATGTCTTGTCATGTCCCTGTAGCTTTGCTCCTCATGCTGAACCATAAGGCCAAGACGCTGGAGGTAGAGTTGGCCAAGGAGAAGGAAGTATGCACCAAAGACAAGCAGGGTCTGGCGATGAGCAAGGGAGTGGTGGAGGAGAAGCTGGCTGAATGTG